CACTATACCCGAACTGAAAAACTATCAGGTGAGCCCAAACCATTTTCTCCTTCTCGACCCTAAACTATCTAACATGTTTTTGGTGCAGGGTAAACCAAAGGAAAGTCGTGGCCGCGAGGAAGAAGTAGCGGAGCTGCCGCACCGAGAAACCAAAACCATTGAGTAGTTTCGATTTTCCTCCTTTTTCTACCAACAAAAGCCATCTAACCCCGAATTGTGCAAGTTTTCACCCATAACCGACTGAAACCTGCCTGATCGAGAGGAAGAGCCGCTGTAAAAGGCAGAACCGGTGGCGGAGCACAACAGCGCCGCTGTGCCGGAACCCTAAACTGACCCTCGGGGAGAATTTTGACCTTATTTGCCTTTTTTTGCATATTTCCATAATATTTGACGTAAGTTTTGATTTTAATAGAAAAATTCAAAAAAATTCAGGAACCGGGAACCACTAAGAAGTGTAGTGAAAAAGGCAATGTTCCAGACATCGGCTCGGGGTAAGAATCTCTCATCATTTCTCCCGTTACAAGTAAATTAAAGTTAGATTAAAAATAAACGAAAAATTATAAATATTTGGCTACCCTTAATTAATTAAATATAGATCACCGATGGAGCCAGTAACCGGTCAGTGTATAATTGTCCATAACTTATCTGTGTTGTCTATTTGTTGTTATATTACCTTAATCACCTATTGTTACTTCATGTACTTTAATATATTGATTTTAATTATTTTTCTTGTCTATTTAGTCTACTTAAATTGTTTTTATCTTTATTCTATTTTATCAGTTTGTAACAAATGTCTTAATTACGTTTTATTGAATCATTGAATCTTAATTTGTATCAATCATTAAATGATCGTTCCATTTTCCTGTAATTGAAAAATGTGAGTTTTGCACGTATTTGCTGACTAGATAGTAATAGAAACTTATATATGTAAGTAACGTTGTTAAATTTAAGGACTTATCGTGTGTTATAGAAAAGTGTGTACGAACCTGGTATACAGGGTAAACCCTACCGTAAATGTTACCCTCAGTCGAACGAAGATGAAAAATCCCATACCGGAAAGGGTTGGAAATTTTTTTAATTACACTCATTACCGGATGGAGTAGTGAGACGGTGGCGTGTTTAGCAGCTATTATCGGACGGGGCATGAAAAAGACCAATTGATTCATTGAACGGATATTTGGTCCACTTATGGTGGGAACCCCTATGGACCCTCATGTGACACCAATAAGTAAGTAAAAATAGCGAAGGTTAATTACTATTAGTTTTTTAGAATGCCTAATGTGAATTATTATTCTGATTTTTTTTTTCCATAAATAGCATCTGGGAACTTACAGGTGAGTAAAGAATTAATGTTTTCAATTAAATGAATTTACTTAAGAAATAAAAATGAGTTCCATTGGTTGTTTTACGATTTCTACAAGCCTTTAATTTTCCGTATCGGTGACAAAGTATTGATATTCTTACTGAGGTAGTGTAGCTCACCCCTTTATTATTAACCATTTCAGATCATGATGATTAAGATTTGGATCCTGAACAACAAGAAAACTAGCTAAAAGATTGCCTCCCATTTTTCCAATTGCGCAATGGAGATTGATCACATAAGTTTTTCAAATTATACTTTTCTTTCTTTTATGTTCTTTAAAGGCATTCCCGTAGCCTTATTAAGCATTTCAATTAAATTGTATAAGGCACTTAACCCTAAATTCTAAACTGTTTCTGCAAATTAATAAATTTCAGTATTATTTTATTACCTGCATTTTGAGCTTTTATAGTTGGTATCAGAGCACGTTCCTAAGAACCATTCCTTACACATAGGGTTAGAATAATTCAATGCAACCCAAATCTCAAACATTTGTTGTAAAATATAGGTACAAAAACATGAGGAGAGAAAGACCCCCGCTAAATCAAGCAGCCTGGGAATGATCACTTTAAGAGGATGTTGATCAGTTTTTCGAGATACTTGAGTGACTCATCTTTGCCCAGCAGGCCAGGGATGAGAGAAAGGAGTTGTCTGATCCCCCTCCACCATTGCCACAGTATGAGCTACCTCTACACCGACAGGATCCAGTACCACTATAATACAATCCTACTCCCCAATAGTATCATCTGACACCACCATAGTACAATCCAATGCCCCCACCATACAATCACGTGTCGCCACAGAGCCACCCAGTTCCTCTCTAGCATAATCCAGTTCCCCTTCAGCAGACTCAACTCCACCCATGATGGACCTGGACTATATTGAGAGTACAAAAACTTAATCCATCTACTTTTGCAAGGACATCCACTTTTAAAAAGTTGAATACTAGTTAGTAAAGATAGAGAAGGTCTTCGTGACCCTCAAAGTAGTTCTCGAACATAAGGTTATTTTTGTTACTTACATGCTCGTAGGTGAGGTAGAATGTTGGTAGCAACTGAAGCAGGTTACTCTACCCACTCTAGTCACTTGGGAACAGTTTCTAACAGTTTTCAATGCTGAGTACCTTCTAGAATACATCCATAATCTAAAGGAGATAAAGTTTGCACACCTGGTTCAGGAAGATTTGTCAGTATTAAAATATGCTCGAAAATTTCTAGAGTTAGGTCGATACTCTCCCAATAGCATGACAGACAAAGACAAGAAGGTAAGAAGATTTGATTAGGGTCTTCATCATGAAATCAGACAACAATTGTTTGTGTTTGAGCTCAACACTTACTCAGCAGTTTTGACCAAGACACGGTTGATAGATAAGAACCTCCATATTTTTTTTCCAGTAATGGGCAACCTCAGACCACCGGTTCCACATCGCAGGCCATAATCACCTACTACACTGAACCAGCAAAATAAGAGATCAAGGCTTGCAACTCAAGCTCCTTCCTAGGTTCCGGTAATAAGACACGGTAAGGTTTGTCAGTACTGTGGCAAGGATCATGGAGATCGACCTTACTATTACCTCAACAACACCTATTGTATATACGAGAGTGCCTAGCATTACGCGAGAGAATGTCCACAGAATCAGAATCAACATAGACACGTAGTCTAGGGCAGAGTCTATACATTTACCCAGTAGGATGCTAAAGTCAATCCAATGTGATACAGGGTACGTACACTATCTGCAACCACCTTGCACATGTTTTAATTGATATTAGTGCTTCACATTTTTTACTTTCACATGCTTTTACTTAAAATTTAAATGTGTTACCTGAAAACCTTGATTTTGCACTGTTTGTGTGAACATCTAAGAACGGGACATTACTAAAAAATATTATATACAAAGCTCGTATCATAGAAATAGCAGGTAGGGAATTGAGCGTAGCTCTGATAGCACTTGACATATGAGATTTTGATATAAATTATGGGAATGAACTGGTTAGTGGCGTACCACACTATTGTGAACTGTTTTTAAAATAAGCTTGTATTCAACATTCTTAACAAAAAATCTTTCACAAATTAATAAAAATTTTAGATGTTGTTTAAACGCGATAATTGCCTTGTTTATCAAATGCCCTTAACTCAGTCATTCTTTTCAATGCTAGGCAAACCTAAAAAAGAGATTTGCATTCAAGATATTCCTGTTGTTCGAGATTTCTTGGACGTGTTCCTTCATAAACGAACTGAACTGCCAGTAGATCGAGAAGTGGAATTCATCATAGATCTTTAGCCTGACACCCAAGTCATCTCAGTTGTCCCATACCGAATAAGTCATGTCGAGATAGAAGAACTAAAAAATCAGATCAAGGAATTGCAGGATAACGGGTTCATCCTATATAACATCTTCTCTTAGGGTGCTAGAGTCAAGTTCGCAAGAAAAAATGATGGGTCCCTCAGGTTGTGTATTGACTACAGAGAACTGAATATGATCAAAACCAAGAACAAATACTCCCTCCCCAGGATTGATAATCTTTTCGACCAATTATAGGGTGCTCAGATTTTCTCTAAGATTGACTTGTGTTTGGGATACCATCAGGTGAAGATCAACGCAGAAGATATCCCTAAGACAGCCTTCAGAACCCGCTATGGGCACTATGAGTTCTTGTTCATGTCATTCGAATTAACTAATGCACTTGCTATCTTTATGAACTTGATTAACAAGGTTTTCAGGCCGTTCTTGGATCAGTTCGTTATAGTATTCATTGATGATATCCTGGTTTATTCTAATAGCAGAGAGGAGCACGCTCAGTATCTGACTCAGGTCTTACAGGTTCTCAGGAAAAAGAAACTATATACAAAATTGAGTAAGTGTGAGTTTTGACTTGAGCATACTTTTTTTATAGAGCACATAATATCAAAAGATGAAGTATTAGTGAGTCCCGATAAGATTGATGTAGTGATGGGTTGGAAACAGTTGACTTCGGTTAAGGAAGTTCAAAGTGTTTTGGATATGACAGGTTATTATTGTAGGTTTATATAATGATTTTTAAGTATAACCACCCCCTAACACGACTTATGAAAAAGATATCAAATTTAAGTGGAATGAGAAATGTGAAAAGAGTTTTATAGAACTTAATGAACGACTGACTACCACACCAAGCTTAGCTTTGCCGAATGGAACGGGTTGATATACAGTACATAGTGACGTGTCATACCAAGGATTGGGTTGCATTATGATGTAGAACGAGAAGGTCGTAGTTTATAAGTCTAGGCAGTTGAAAACTCATGAAAAAAATTATCCCACCCATGACTTGGAGCTTGCTGCCATTATCCACGCTTTGAAGACTTGACGCCATTACCTATATGAGGAAACATTTGAAATTTGTATAGACCATAAGAGCTTAAAACATATATTCACTAAGAAGTATCTCAACATGCGTCAGAAGCGTTGGATAGAATTCTTCAAGAATTACAATTGCAAGATCTTGTACTATCCAGGAAAGGGTAATGTGGTGGCCGACACCCACAACAAAAAGAATACAGGTATGTTAGCTCACATAATAGTTTTTATATACATAATGATAAAAGCTACATAGTAGATACAACTCCAATGGCTACATGTATAGCTCATTTAGTAGTCCAACTCAAATTAATCCAGAGGATAAGGGAGGCTCAACTTACTGATCCCACTCTAGCAGGTCTCAGAAAGGACACAGAAAAGAGTTTGAACTTAGAATTTCGTGTCTCTGCCAATAGGTGCTCAGGTTCCAAGATAAGTTGTGTTCTCAGTGATAGCAAGCTGAAAAAGGATATCATGACAAAGTTTCACAGTTCGAAATTCGCCATGTATATGGAAAATACTAAGATGTGCCAAAGCATGCGGCCCCAATTCCAGTGGAGTGAGATGAAAAGGAAAATTTTCAATTTCATCTCTGAGTGCCTTATATGCCAACAAGTTAAAGTAGAGCATCAACCCCTATATGGGCTACTTCAGCCGTTACCAATCCTGAAGTAGTAATGAGAATATATCCCAATGGACTTTATAACATGATTACCAAAGGTACGCTCGGGACACGAGTGTCCCTTAACCAACTCACTAAGTCTTTTTATTTTCTGGACATCATAATGACTGATCCCTTAAACAAGTTAGCTAGAATCTATATTTGTGAGACAGTCAGACTACATTGAATTTCAGTGACAATGGTATTGAACAAAGACCCTAGGTTTACCTCCCGATTTTGGACAAGTCTTCAACAAGCAATGGGGATGAAATTGTCTCTTAGCACAACATTCCACCCCCAGACGGATGAACAATCAGAGCGAACCATTCGCACACTGGAAGATATGGTTAAAGTTTGTGTTCTAGATTTTGGAGGACACTAAGATGACCACCTACCCCTAGTAGAGTTCACCTATAATAATAGTTATTAGACAAATATTGGTATGACTCTTTATGAGGAATTGTATGACCGAACTTGTAGATATTCAATCTGTTGCGAAGAGGTGGGTGATAGGAAACTGATTAGGCAAGATATTGTAGATGAGACTATAGTGAAGATTGGTAAAATTAGAAAAAATATTCAGATAGTTCATAGCAGATAAAAATGTTATGCGAACACCAAAATAAGAGATTTGAAATTTGAGAAAGGCGATCGAACGATTCTTAAGGTTGCCCCTGTAAAGGTATCACCAGATTTGGAAAAAGGGGAAAGTTCAACTCTCAGTTCATCGAACCATTTGAGATTTTGGACAGGATTGAGATATCCACCTATAGACTACACTACCTCTAGACTTATCTACATTCCATAACATCTTTCATGTGTCGATACTACGTAAGTATAATCTCAACCCCTCATATGTTTTGTCCTACAAGCTACTTTCACTTCAGGAGGATTCATCTTATGAGGAGGTACCGGTTAATGTTTTGGACTGGAAGAATAGAGTGCTTCGCAACAGATAAATTTCTTTTATCAAGGTTCTATAGCAAAATCATTCACAGGACGAGACCACTTGAGAGTTAGAATCATACTTTAGAACTCGATATCCTAAATTGTTTGACTAGGGGGGGGAGGGGGGGCAATAATTTGATAGACTAAATTTTTTTAAGGGGGGAGAGTTATAACATCCCGAACCCAGAATCTAGGCTCGAGATGACAAAATTTATTCTAAATAATAATTATGAAAATTGTTAATTTCAATTTTTTAAGAATTTTTTTAGAAATATACATTTTGGATATATTTGAAGACACTTTTAAAAGGAATAGGCAAAACTGAAAATAAGGAAGGACCCATTCGAAATGAAAACTTAAAACCTGGGACCAAAGTGCAAAAATAAAAAAACGATCATGTAGGATGGCCATATCAGCAGTATGACCAATCGTGGTGCACCGCATGGTGGACATGCCAGCACATGTTCCACGCGGGAGGCCACGCAGGTAATCTGCGTGCTAATCGATCCAACGACCTTGGATTCACTCTTGCGCATATGAATGACCCAGATTCGTTTTACCATTAGGCGCGATCGAACAGTCCCACGTGCCTTCAATCAGATGACCTTGATTTGCTTCTCAAATAGGTGAGATCCGACGTTGGAGATCGGCCCACACTGGCCCGAACGGACGACCCAGATCGAGAGAAGAGAAGTATTTAAAGTCTTCCATTAAAACCCTAACCCCAGTCGCACCCCAGTTCGCCAAAGAAGAAAAAGAAGGGCGGCCGAAGAGAAGCTGGGCACCATCGCTGTTGCACCGGAGACCCAAATCAATGCTGGTAAATGAATTTTCCTCTTGTTCATTCTGTTTTTCCATTTTAAATTACTCAAAACACTTCTCAATGCAGAAAAACTCAAGGGAAAGCAAAAAATGTAAGGCAGCGCTTGGTCAAACTGCTGTACCCAAAACCAAAAGACTACTCCGGAGAGCCCGAACCCTTTTTCCGTTGCCTTCTATTTCTCAAACCTAGAACATCTAACAAGTTTTCGGTGTAGGATAACTGAAGGAAAGCTGCCACCGCGAGGAAGAAGCGGCGTACCTGCCGCACTAGGAAAGCAGAACTGCTGGTAAGTTTCAAATTTTCTCCTTTTTCTACCAATAGAAGCCACCTAACCCCAAATTGCGCAAGTTTTTACCTAGAACCAGCTGAAACTGGCTTGATCGAGAGGAGGAGTCGCCGTATAAGGCAGAATCGGCATCACCACTGTGTCAGAACCCTAAACCGATCCTCGATGTGAATTTTGACCCTTTTTGGCCATTTTTCGCATATTTCCACGATATTTGATATAAGTTTTAATTTTAGCAGAAAAATCTAAAAAAATTCAGGAACTAGGAACCATCGGAAAGCGTAGTGAAAAAGGCAATATTTTCGACATCGACCTGGGATAAGAATCCCTCACCTTTATCCCGTTACAGTTAAATTAAAGTTAAATTAAGAATAAACAAAAAATTATAAATATTTGGTGATCCATGATTAATTAAATACATGTCACCAATGGAGCCAGTAATCGGTCAGTGTGTAATTGTGTCTAACTTATCTGTGTTATCTATTTCTTGTTATATTACCTTAATTGTCTGCTGTTATTTCGTGTACTTTAATTTATTGATTTTAATTACTTTTCTTGTCTATTTAGTCTACTCAAACTATTTTCATCTTTATTCCGTTTTATCAGTTTGCAACAAATGTCCTAATTATGTTTTATTAAATTATTAAGTCTTAATTTATATCAACCATTAAATGGTCATTCTATTTTCCTATAATTGCAAAATGTGAGTTTTACATGTATTTGGTGGCTAGATAGTAATAGAAACTTGTATATCTAAGTAACATTATTAAATTTAAAAGCTTACTGGGTGTCATGGGAAAGAGTGTAAGGACCTATACAAAGGGTAAACCCTACTGTAGACATTATCTTTAGTCGAACGGGGCTGAAAAATCTCATACTGGAATGGGTTCAAAATTGTTTTGATTATGCTCATTACCGAACGAGATATTGAGGCGGTGGTATGTTTGACACCCATTGCTGGACGAGGTATGGGGACAATCGGTTGATTCATTAAATGGATATTTGTTCCACATGTGGTTGGAACCCCTATGGACCCCCAACAACATCGGTAAGTAAGTAAAAATGGTAAAGGTTAATTATTGTTGATCTTTTAGAATGTTTAATACGAATTATTATTCTAATTTTTTTTTTCATAAATAGCATCTAGAAATTTACAGGTGAGTGAGAAATTAATGTTTTCACTTAAATGAATTTATTTAAGAAAGAAAAATGACTTCCGTTGGTTATTTTACAATTTTTGCAAACCTTTAATTTTTCATATCGATGGCAAAGTTTTAATATTCTTACTGAGCTAGTGTAGCTTACTCCTTTATTATTAACTATTTCATATCAGGACGATTAAGATCTAGATCCTGAACAACAAGAAAATTAGCTAAAAGTTTGCCTCTCGTTTTTTTAGTTGTGCAGCGGATGTTGATCATATAGGTTTTTCGAATTATATTTTTCTTTTTTTTTTTTATGTTCTTTTAGGGTATTTCCGTAATTGTATTGGATATTTCAATTAAACTGTATAAAGAATGTTACCATAAATTCTAAAATACTTCTACAAATTAATAAATTTCAGTATTGTTTTATTACTTGCATTTTAGGCTTTTAATAAACATATGGACAGTAACGTTTTGTTATAAATTATATGTAATCATTAAATAATAAAATATTTATATAGATTAGTAATCTATTATTTAATTTTATATCATACATTTTTGTTAAATATGGAAATTAATATTTTATTATAAGTTTATAGATGTTACTCATACAACATTTATTTAGATTAACCAAATTTTAGAATAAAAATATGCTGGCTGCGGGGTTCATTAATTTTATATCATAAATAATAAAATATTTTATAATATTTTCATTCATATTTTATTATAAATTTACATTAGATCACGAGTTATAATTTTAAAAATTAATTATATAATGCATAAATTTTAGTTAATTAAAAATTAAAATTTATTTTTGTATTTAAAATTTTTAAATAAATTATTATTATTATTGTATATATCGTCAAAATTGTTTTTATATTTAAAAATCTTAAATGTATAATTTATAATTAATTAAAATTTAATATATTTTTATATTTTAAAAATTTAAATAGATAATTATTATGTATGTTATAATATTAATTTTATTTTTAAAATTTAAAATTTAAATGAATAATATATAAAATTTTATTTTTATATAATACATATATATTTATGATTAATATTAATGTATTAATTTTATTTTTATTTCAAAAAAAGAAAATATTACATACTATTTTTTTACATTAATTATATGTATTGACATCAACATTAAATAATAATATATTTATTTAGTTATAATAATTTATGGACATCCAGTTCTAAAATTAAAAAAAATATATATATTTAAATATAGACACATCAAACATTTTATCAGAAATATATATGTTAGAATTAAATTAAAATACATTTATTTAGATATGATTATTTATTAACATCACGAGCCCTAATTCCTATGGGACTAATAATAATAATAATAATAATAATAATAATAAAAAGAGTAATAACATCAAATTCTAAAATAAAAAATATTTTTGTTAAGAATGCACATGTTGATATTTTATTAGAACTGTATATTTTATTTGAATAAAATTAATTAACATCAAATTTGAAAAATGCTGGCTATGGGGTTCGAACCCATGCGCACTTATGTGCAGAAGATCTTAAGTCTTCCCCCTTAACCTCTCGGGCAAACCAGCTTGCGATGTTCTGGTACCTAAACGTAAATAATTCTCTAACTACGCACGGTTTAGTCTTTCAAATTTTTAGATGATCTGAAGAAAAAGATTAAAAATTTATATCAATTTTAGTATACGATATTCAAACTAAACCTCTTCCTGATAAATTATATTAAAAGAAAAAAAATATATTTTTTATTAAATATAATATTAATTATAAATAAGATAATTACATTCAGTTACTTATATTATACTTTATAATATATTAATGTCACTTATAATTTTATTTTTAATATTATCACACTTAAAATTAAATTATATTTTTTGAGGAGAAAAAATCATAGCAACATTTTTTGTAAATTTGGTTTAGGTTAATTACACAAAGAGGTAGATTGTTTTTTAAATGAAAACACATTCATGTATGAGATCTGAATATACATATGGTTGTTGTTCTGTTGGTTTATCCAAATATTCTCTCTTTTTTGTGACTAAAATGTTAGGTCTGTCCCACTAAATATTATTGAATTAAATTTGTGATTCAATTCAATCAAAACATTATAAACATAAAAAAAATTACATTTATCACTTCATCTCCTAACTTAAGCTGCTGCCTGGATGTGGTGCACTCTTAAACTATTCTCTTCTGCCTGTAAAAGTTTAATACTAACACATTAATTATAAAAAAAAAAAAAAAAAAAACAAATTTTTCTCAAAACCCAAAACTTGTCTTCTAAAAAGGAAAAAAATAAAAAATTCTTAAGTAGTAATTGAATAAAAATAATGAGATGAAATAAATTACATATAAAATCAGAAAGATTATATATATATATATATATATACACACACACGAGCACACAAATTCAAAATGAGTCATATATAATCATCGTTATGTTCTAAAAATGTAATGAAATTATATTAAATATGGAATGAATGAGAATTGGGTAGGAGTACTTGCCAGTAAGGAAGGAAGCCAAGCAATAGTATTCTCTACTTCCTCCATGCACTCTTCCTTCTGTTCTATCATGCTTGTCATCTCCGTAACTAGGTAAAGAATTTTTTCTACCTGATCAAATATAGCCATCGCAGAAAATTACTTCACATCAATATATATATATAAATGTTCACACAAACTAACGTATATATAAGGTTTTTTTTCTTTTAAATATCTTCAAGAGTAAAACCAAAATGATAATTGAGAAGCATGCAATTACTTTTGAGAAGAATTTAGGAGTGATGATGGCTTGTATGCCGTCCATGATTCCCACTGCCATGCTCATGGCTTCGTTAATTGAATTCACATCTCCCTAGTAAATTAAACATTCATTCAAATGGGATTAGCTCAACGATAATAATTCCTCTAATTACAAAATTAATTATAATTAAGTTATATAAACTAATTAATTTACCTTGGCACCATTAAGTAGTGGCAATCTAACCGTGGAAACCAATAGTTTGCGGCTCATTCTGCTCAACGCTTCACAATTTTTCGCATCAATTTTCGACCATTGATTTAGCAGAGGCAGTTCCAACCTCAGAATTTCATATATCTTGATTTCTTGCTTCAGTTTTTCTAGTTGAATTCGTTTTTCTAAAATCAACTGTCTCAATTTCCAAATTCTTACCCATACCGCAAATAATTTACCCTGGAAGATTAATTATAAGTTTCCGTATACAAAAATAAATCTCTCCATATATTGCAGGAAATGTAAAAATATTACCTGTGCAGTGATGTTAATGGTGGACATCGTAGCTTCATTTCTAGCATTGATAAACCTCCATTGCAACAATCTGTTATGCAAAACCCTAAAACGATGATAATCCTCTTCTTCCACAGCTGAAACTTTCTTTTGCTTAAAATACTTGAGAACCCCACTTTTCCCACCAGCAGTTTTCGCCGTTTCCCTATCAGACACCGGCGGCGACTCAAACAAACTCGGTGAAGATCTTCCCGGCGATAACGCCCATGCAGAAGGAGACTTTGTGGGTGAATATTTTACCCCTTTTCTTCCGCTAGAATTTACACGGGAATTACTGCCACGCCCTGCACTTTTCAAGAATCTAATAAAGCCATTACTGTTTTTACAATTACTACTGCTCTGATCTTGATGGTCTAGGTCAGGCCGTCCGATCTTTTGGATTCTCGAAATGATGGAGGTTGTTGTGGAAGGGTCGATATTCTCTTCGTCTCTTTTGGTATTTGTTGATGATCTTGTGGTTGACTTTGACCTGTTGATGAACCTTTTGCTAGTATTGAAGCTGGAGTTGTTTTGATCTGGTGTAGAAATGGAGGGAGCTCCGCTTCGACAGCGGATTAGTCGTGGCGATGCAGCTGGCGGATGATGCTGCCGTGTGTGAGTGGTCTCCATCTAGGCCGATCGATCTGTTTGGTTGGTCAGATTTTTGGGATTTGACGACACAGACACACGCACAATATATACATATATGTATACGATGCAGACGTATGAAAATTATCTGAATTTGCTCGAGGTTTGTCATAGTTTTGGTCAAGGTGGTGATAAGTTGGGAGCACGTTGAAGAAGAAGAATTGTGCATATCAGTACTGGGGGAGTGGAAGTCATCCATGAATGTTTATGGGCATACTTTGAATCTAGTAATTTTTATAATTATAATAATATATGTATATATAGTAATTTAAATGTAAGACTACTGCGTATTAAGGGATATATTATAATTTGGTCAACTACAAACTGTACTAATAAATCTATAAATCATAAATATTATGTAAAGTGGTAGGCTGAATTAATTGAAAGAACGTTTATCAATCAAACTACAATAACACAATTTTTAGTAATATCATTTCAACTAGAATCATCAATAACTACTAAAAAAATCATTTATCTTTATATATATATATATATATATATCGTACCCATGTCGAGACTTGTAAAATTTTATAGAACTATATATATATATATATATATATATATATATATACACACACACACACACACATTTGGTGAGGAAGCGAAGAGGGAAGAATGTCAATTGGGTTGGGTATAAAACAATCTTAATATTATTATTTTGGGCTTGTTGAGTAGCAAGCAATATAAGTATTTATGTTATTCTTGGACCATGTAAAGTCTACTTACAAAAGATTAATACTTGGCTTGTAGATTGATCTAATTACTAATTACCTATTTTAATACCTAAATGACTCTAATTAAAACTTAATCTTTGAACTGATTATTAAATTAATTTAATAGAAATTATGAACATTTTCACACACCAGAACTTTTCCTCTCTTCTATTTCTTACCAAGTTAATTAAATTTTATTTATAATATTTAATTATGACTTATAAGAAAAATTAAACTTAATTACATCATAACTATAATAGAAAGACAAAAATTAAGAAGCTTATAATAATCACGTTATAAATGCCTGGATATAACAAACTGCATGCACGTGTTAGATATTTCTTTGAATTAATATACAAAAATATATATTAGCATTTCCTTATAAATTTTGATAACATACAATAATGTGAAAATAATGTAACCTATGATTACCATATATTAAAATTTTAATAATTATTTAGTAAAATATTAATTTTATCTTTTTTAAATCTTACGAACTACTTGAATCTTTTTATTAGACCAGATTAAATTTTCACAAGTTATAATTTTAAAAATTAATTGACTATTATTTATTTTTATTAGTAATTTATTAAAAATTTAAATTAAATAAAATTATATTATATTATATTTAATAAAAATATAATAATATCATAATCTTATATATTATGTCACATGTTAATATATTTATTAGTTTAATTTATCAAACCTCACGTGGCAGATAATTTTTTTCTTTTTTACGTTAATCCAACGCATCAATTTGTTGTGACAATGCTCTCTCTCTGTTTTTCATTATTTTGGCACATATATGAATATATATATCCACACACGTATAAATATGCATATAGTATTATGATATAACGAGCACGAGAGATTACAAAGGTTTGCTCGTCCCAATTAAATTGAATCTTCTTAACCATTAATTCTAAATTAACTTGAGTTAATCACCTTAATTTTCAAAAGAAATAAATGAATGGGTTAAATTCATAATTAGCAGCTGTTGATTCAACCCAATTATATGCTTCTGATCTCAACAATTAAACATGTGACGGAATTGGATATATAGAGCTGTTAGACGCTCTATACTTAGAAACACCATGTGATAGATATTTTTTTATTTGGAAAGAAACCATGTGATAGATATTTTTTCCCTTTCATTTTCATCCATCAACTTATGCCATATATATATATATATATATATATATATATATATATACACACACACACACACGCATATACAAAAATTTAACGTTGATAATAATAATTATTTTTTCAATTACATAAAAGTTATTTGGGTAGGTTTTTTATAATGCAGACAGAAACATAGACTAGACTGGTACGTAATGAAATTTTATGTTTGGTCATAACATGTGATGTTTTAAAATTTGGCATGTGATAGATATTTTTCGATTCTGTATTTTATTGTTAATTTGGTACAATACATATATACATGTATATACACATATATAGAAGACAATTAGGATTACTAAAGAGGAATTATAAAGTTATTTTAATTAATCATGTCTGATCTGTTCTTGTCTCTGCATTACTAAAAGTGATTAATCATGTCTTTTACTGATAATAATTACTATTTAAAATATTGTTCTTGTCTTAATTAATTAGTTAATTAACGAGTTATCTTAAACCATGTCCTAATTACATGTTTACTAATAGAGATCAAAACCTGACTCATCTTTAATAGAGATTATGTAATTAGGAAGATAAGATCGTACACATATAGTTTTTGTCATTTTTTTAACCGATTAATTCTGAAACTTTTTTTATTTTAGGTTAATTAATAATTTTTATATTTATACATATTATTTAATTTTATCTATGTATAGTTATTTCGAAAACCAAGATAAAACTAATCAAAGCCAAGAACTTAAGATACATTATGTTTGATGCATATATATATATATATACACACACACACACATACATGCACGTATCTGTGTACACATGCACATCTTTTTCACTTCGCAAACCATGTGGAAGATATTTTCATCCCCGTCAACGACGCATAAGCAGGATATTAAGATCATGGTATAGGATGTAAAATCTTGAATCTTTTGCTGGTTGATGCATACGTATACACAACACACACACACACACATATATATATATATATCATGTGTGACGAACAACTGTTTTTTACGTTATCCGTTTACTGATCTCATTGCCCTTGCCTAACATGATTTCATCAATTTACTAATGGAAATTCCATGTGTATAGCGGCAGCCAAAAGAAACTAAAGAAACTGTTACTAGTTCAACCATTTTTTATCCAGTGAAAACAAATATATATATATATATATATAAACGAATCACTGGGTCATATATATAGAGGGCGCCAAAGCGGAGAGGACCTAACTGTTTGATCGACCAAACTCTTGGTCGGCCGAGAGCACATATATATATACACACACACAAGAATGTTTATAAGTATTCATGTGTGTAAGGCTCGTTCTTCTTCTTCTTCTTTTTTTATTTTTCGAGTTTAGATCATAATAATAATTATTATCATTAATGGAGAAGGGTAAGCAGACTATGATGAGTGGATATGGTGGGAGTAGCTCTAATGGTGACTCCATTATTGATCGTAGTGAAGTCAAAATTATTTTGTGGGAGAGTAATGCTGAAAGTCAAGCAGAAATTTCTACTCTTTTGACCAAATATTCTTATCAGGGTAAGCATTATATCATAAGATAATTATACCCATATATATAAGATTAAAAAATGTAACATATTAATGTTAGTTAATTAATAATTTACTGCAGTAACTCCAGTGAGCTCGGCTATACAGATAATAGATGCTTTGAACACAGAAGGGGCTTACATCGACATCGTTTTGATAGAAGTTGGACTGATATTAATGGAGAGAGGAATGAAAATTTTGAATTATATTATGCATGATAAAAATCTCCAACACATTGCTGTTATCAGTAAGCATTTATATATAAATATATATATATGTTTATATATTTATAGATACATACATGCAAACCCATTACATTGATATTAATTATATGTTAATTAATATTGATTTAGTGACTGTGTATGTATGATATTGGGGTGTTAGTGCTATTAACACAGGACAGGCTGCATCTTCTTCACAATGGGTTTAAATTAGGTGCTGCAGATTATCTTCTTAAGCCTTTGGATTCTGATGAGCTACTCAACTTATGGATGCATGCCAGGAGAAACCAGCGATACAATTGGTATCATTTTCCTTTTTTTTTTTTTTTTTTCTGTCTTTTAATATTATACATAAGTTGGCTGGTATATATGTTTATTTTAGATGTGTGCATGTTATATGTATACATATATTTATATATATATAGTTCATTTAATTAGGAATATATAGATGATTATGGTTTTAATGGTGGTATTACATGCTCTGTTTACAGCTTGGTGGAATGCCACAAAAAGAATAACCTGAAGGATCAGCAGTTTTATTAGTAGAATTCTTGGGTGCATGATCTCCGTCTTCGTGTATCTCCACGGCTGGTGGACATATATATATATATATATATATATTTATGCGAAATTAATCAAGGGTAGTTGATTAATTGTCAACGTCAACTTTGATTTGAAGATGTGATTATGGTTGCTTAATTAGCTGTTTTCATTAAATCCAACTAACCCTGGAATTAAAGAATAATTAATCTACTTCTCTTGGAAATTCTTTTTCCTTTCTGGGTATTTTATTTTTGGCAAATCATTTAATTTTTGATGAATTGTTGGAGTGAAAAGAGATTCATGGGGGTGGATAGGTCTGTGAAACAGAGGACGACAGAAATAGAGGATGTTGCATGTGATAAGCAAGTTAATGCCCTGTTTGGCTGCTTATTGGGTTTTCCTCTTAGATTAGAATCTTCAAGTAATTTATATTGATTCAATTACAATTTGATTAAATGACTATGGTGGAGCAATAAAACAATTCCCCCCCTCCCCCCAGCTCTGCTCTTCATCATTTATACCAAGAAGAGAAGTGAGATAGACAACAATGGCGGAAAATGAAACTTCTTGTTTTCTTTTATGTCACTTTTGCCCTGCATAATTTATCCATCGTCGAACAGGACTAATAGTTTTGACATAACTACTTACTCTCCAACATTATGTTATGCGCCTTAAAATCATTAATACCTAACTAATACAAATATTTATATATAATATCTTGAGAAATAAAGAAGTTGATTTGATATACAACCGATGATATGGTATTGGAGTAAATTGCAGTCGTAACTAGTAAATGTGATAAATGTTCAACACTTCCTCCTCCCCAAAAACAGCAAATAAACAAAACAAATTAACATGTGATTGACAAATAGATATGATTAGAATATGTGATAAACTACAAGGAAGTGAAATTTGCTTTTCTTAGCTTCGTGATCAAAAAGGGTTACCTAATCCCCAACACTGGAACCAATTCCACTTGCCTATCCCTTTCTATATCCCATTGTGCAACTTTTGTTTGGTGCTCTACCCACCACCAAAATTAAAAATCAACTAATCTTTAAATCCTACACCACATTATCCTTTATATCCTGCAAGATTTCCAATAAATTAACCTAAAAAATATTCTCACATATACATACAGACAGCAGCACTAAAGTAATTCTAATTAGTACCAAGAGCTAAAAACAATTGCTACGTTTGCGAAGATTACATTACAATCATAAATAATAGTTATGCACATTAAGACTATTACAAAAGTTACGAGTAAAACAATTTCATCGAATCCAACCGGAATGTAAAACCCATATGCCTTTTTCTTTTCAATTTTTAAGTAGCTAGTAAGAATGATTGTAAGGTGAAGATGCGATGATTACACATAAAGAAACAGTTATGTAAACTGAGAAATAGCTTGCTGTTTATCTTCTGAAGCAATGAAGTGATTACAATTTCATGTAAAAGACAAAAAGAAAAAATGAAAAAACACCTCAACACATTCTATTTGATTAAAGGTTCCATATAATATTACCTTCTCCTTTGAGAACAATTTTGGAAGTCAAAACAGGGTATCAGGAAATTTGTGGACGCACAGCCCATCAGACCCTCATGATTTGAACTACATACATGATCAAAGAACAGATTACTTCCCCAGAACACATGACCTGGCATGATGCATCCCTTGCACCATCACCGATGTTAACTGCAGGGCATAAACAAGAGGTCATTTTGGAGCCTAACCAAATGACACAAATGATATGATCTGCTTATCATCGATCAATGGCTGGAAAAAAATCTCTCCACTTGTTTGCACATCTTACCTCGACTTATTCCTCAAAATAATGACTATTATATTTCTTCAGAGGAACGCTGGAGTATCATTCTCACTCATCCAAGTAGAGAACAGAAAGTCCGCAGGACTCTTGATGTAATAAACCATCACTCCACCATCCCCACCACCCTGCCGATTTGATGTAATAACTGCCTCACAACGAAAAACTTTGCATCAGGATCCTGAAACACCATCTTCAAGAG